TATACCCTGTGGCAAACAAAAGGATCGCAAAGTAAATGTAGATAGATATTATGGAATCCTATATCGTAAAATTCTTGCTCATCGTGTTCTGCTTTGGAATAACTATCGGTAACTTGTATAGCTTTATTCATAATGATACGATTGAAATGATTCAAAACATTCAATTTTACTTGTTTAATTGTGAAGTTTCTTACTTACATATGAGTTAGTTGCATACAACTTCCATTGGTGCTGTGAATGGTTCCCAGTTCAGGATTATATGGTAGGCTGTTCGCAGAGAAGAGCCGACTGGCCTTCAAATAACTGACACATAAGTAAGAACAGCGGACATTTCTCCTCAAACTCGGGTTTAATAAGCAAAGTGTGGATAAATGTGGAGATTAATAATTAACCGTTATAATCCACCAACAGAAACTTAATATCATTCGACGGAACTCAATTGCAATAATCTTATGTTGCGCTGTTCAATGAGCGATCCCAATATACCAATGCCAATAAACCGTCTAATTGTCTGAAAATTGAAGTTGCTGAAAACCTTTGACAGTCCTTGCTTGCACCGCAAAATAAACCTATTCATGTTTCATGGTCGTTTTCCTATAAACAAAACCGGTTCACAATAGACGCGCTTGTCCACATTGCTTACGCTGTTCTACCTGACTTGAACATAGGTGCAGATACCACCATTTTAGCATGTATTCGTTATGCGAATGCATTTGGTTATCTCGACCGATGAGTGCTTATTGAAGGTCTTTCTGAATTTTGCCCGACACTTGAAATTTCGTATGTTCTAATGGATTACTTTTTCCTAGGATCCATTTGACAGTATATATTTGGCCTTCAAAGCCTTGGATTTGAATGGTTTCGAGTGTTATGATTTATCCCGTTTCATTTTTCAATTTACGCACAGAATCTCTCCATTCTTAGTGACCGCATCATTGTTGGACAATATGGTGATATTGTGAATGGTTGACCATCCGCTACTGCAAACAGCATTTCTCCTCCCCAGAACAGCGTAAAGGAAATACGCAACGGATCTGCGCTCTGACCTCTTGTACTTAACAATAATATATGTTTTGACGTTCCGAATAATTTTCGAACCGGCCCCGCTATCCTTCATTAGAAGCTAATCTCTCTGATCTCGTTGTTCATATTCAAAGGATCCTCACCCATAATCTTTATTGGTCCGCACTATCATCAGTGTTTTAACAGAGTTTAAAAAACGTATTGATACTCTTACGTAACTTACGCCCATGACACTTCAAAACTGAAATGTAGTGATTAACTGTGATTCAGAAAAATGAACAGTTAACGGGATCAGAACAATATGAACAGTTTCAAGAATTTACCGAGCTCTGTGATCGCACAATATGTGAAAAGTTTGATATATCATCTATCAGATGAAAAGGAATTGAATGCGGAACGCGCACGGTAGAGATAAACTGTGGCACATGCAAGTCATGCGCAACACACTCTGATGATCTCGAGGCCATAGTATGAATGGCATACTGTGCAGGTAAACCACTTTGGAAAGTATGCACACAAATGTCAGCCGTGAGGTCTTCATGATAATGCACATTCCTGTAGTTAAACACCATTACCGCAAGTGTTGTAATGTTCTCAAACTTGTATTAGTCGCATACCCAATACGGAAGGAGAACGCATAAAATAATTCATTCATTCAGGGTGCCATGGTTACCCTCGTCCAGTTTGAATGGTTTAGTTGTGCGGAAACTGTATGGCGTATGCGCTTGGCTGGCGTCATAGTGATGAGCAAGATCATCACAACAGGCTCATCACAGTCTCATGTGAAACTAATCGACTCGGAAGTGCACAACCTCACTCATAATGATACGTCGGTTTGCTCTACATTCGGTTTATGAAACTAACACACCTAACAAAATAATCCTCCCATGCATACGGACATCATATTTTGTTCTTCTGCATTGACCGATGTGATCTCTGTCAGTTGGTGAATCGCTTAAAATGAACTTACTAGCAAAACTACCGTTTGAATCGTCGGTGGTTCTTTAAATGAACAATTACTTAATAAAAAGAGAGAGCAATTGCTTTGGGGATTATTAGCTCTGATAATTGCTACAAGATGCAAGATGCAACCGAAGTGATCAGCATGGCTTTAGAGAAAGCTCTAGATAATGAATAGAAAGAACATCTAGAGCCTGGTTAAACAAGTGGGAACAAACCAAACCATAGCAGTTCCTCCAAAAGACTTTGACTACAGGTCTTTAGATGTCTACTAATAACGGGTGTAGGTTCACGTGAGTTTCCAATTCAGTTATCAGAAAAAACAGCTGATCATTGGCCACAATATCACTAATTGTTGTAGTAGGCTGTCAATATAGCTTTATTTTCCTAAGTGAGGCTTTCACATACTTTGGGAAATAGAAAACGGGTATGAAGAAAACCTGTGTAAAACTACAATAGTTGAAGATGAGTTGGTTGAGTTTGAACATACAAATATGTTCTTCCTAGTTTGCAGAATGTCATATGATTGAATCAAATATAGTAGCAATATACAGTTCTCCCACCGGTGAGGTAGGGGAACTGCGAATATATCTGAAGGCACTTCGATTGAATGACAGTTTATTTAGGACCTGAAATATCCAGCACACTTAGGTAGCGTTGCTTGTTGGATGGGTAATTGAGCAGATAGCCCATAGCTTTGACCAAATTATCATACAGAACCGATGTTTACAATAAATTTTGACCCTCTCCTACATGTTGTTCTATTAATAGTTTTGACTCTACAGGCTCAAAAATTTACTCAGAGTTATGTCATTTTCAAGTTAACACACACGTACCATGTTGCTCTCATTTTGTCGTAGGTCGTTGAGCGACATAAGCGTGACTCCAGCATAACCGAGTTCATCTACTTAGCAGTAATGTAACGTCTGAGAACAGGTGACGCAAAAATACGCACAGTGCACAATCCCAATAAAATTCAGTAATAAAAATAGTTATTTAACCAACCATTTGTAACAGCGTGATAATCCTCATGTAGTGACACGAGAGACGACGCGTAGCAGAACGAGTGAGTCCCTCCACAATATAGTAAAGTAAAATTTTCAACGTTACCAGGAGGAAGAGAGCTTAAAGGAGAAAACGGTTTCGGTTTCATCGAGCGTGTTCGTCTTTTCACATGACGGAGGCTCTGATTGGCACTTAACTGAAAACGTCAATATCAGTATCATTTTTCTTTTCATTGATGGGAATCCGGATCATGAGTTTGTTCTATTTCCAACCAGAATATCGAAATCTTGTAGAATATGGTAATCAAGTGCTTTAAAATGAGCTAAAAGGAAGACAACCATTTTAGTTTCATTGTGCGTGCTCTTTTTTGGATTAGAGATAAAGTGAATTAAAAAATTGCGAATAATGGGGCACTTCATAATCAGGACAACACGAATTGCACCATATATTCAAACCCTAAAATTCTTTCACTCTAGCTAGGATGAGCATTTATATGAAGTCCACTTCACTGTAGCAGTACNAGTACGGGACAATTACTTAAGAAAATAAAAACTATACTATTACTAGACGAGGGTAACATAATTTTTACTGTACCTTCAAAATGAATTGTTTATTGTAACCGATGCTTTGAGGAACAATGTCGATCGTATATTAATCCCTAATTCAACGGATTTAGTAACTTGTTTTTCTTTTCAATTGTTGTTTTTATTCATTTTTGAGCATAATAACAACACTATAACAGACGCTCACTACTGATGTCAGCATGTAACAGGATCAATTTTGTAGGTAACAGAATATTTGCTGTGAGCCAATGTGTTCCCAATGATTAAAGAAAAGTGAAGGATTATAGTGAAATATTGATTTACTGTGTGTTTATATAGTGAAACAAAAGCAAACGAACGTTGAAAGGATAGCTTCTACAAAATTTTGAATGAAAAACTTCTTCATTATTTTAGTTGCCCACAATCGACCTTGTTTCATCTTTATTGTTGAATAGAACATATTTACATTTCCTACTGATCACATTTCTAGACTACATTTCTTGACGGAATAACAGCTTTTATCAGAACCGTTGAACTGTGATTTATTTGCAATAGTATGCTGGTCAATGGATTCCAATACGCTTTCATGTTTTTGCTCACGATGAAATCTGCATCAACTTCATAAATGTATTTGGTGAAAAAAGTCACAACCACTAGAAAAGTCCACCATTTTTTCGATTGCTTTATTGTTATTCTTACATCGTTTCTAAAGTGAGTACGTGTGGTAAGTAGCCCGTCGGTTATTAAGCTGATTCTGAAAAGAAAATAATAACAAGTTAAATTCTCTCATTTGAGTGATTTGACCATAACTAATGCACAACTAAAAATTCACAAATTTATTTTCACATAAAACAAAAAAGCCAATCTGAAATTGCATTGTAGTATGCTACTTACCAAACACCGTCAATGATAAGGCGTGCAATGAATGCTAATATAAGGAGTACTGAGGGGTTGGATTTTGATACACCATCTGAAAGAGATTACAAGGGATAAGATTAGTTAATGAAAGCCGCAATCATCCGGATTCTGTTCAAAACCGGTATCAACAGACGCAGTGTAATCCTAAGACCGCTGGATAGCAATGTACTATGTACTTCGTGCGAAACAATCCCTCCTTTGTAAAACTCACCCAGTATGTAGTACACCATCACTTCGGTACTGGAGGTATCTCTGGCACGTCGAAGAAGCTGACCAGAACTCGAAGCGCTTCCTTCTTTAACGCCTCCCTCTGGTGACCCTTGCTGTGAAGCATCGGAAGGTTGCTGACTCCCCGCACCGTTCGGAATCTCCGGCTGTTTCTGATCTGCTGGTACCTGGTCGTTCGTCCCGGCAACACCACCACCATCTTTGTTACCATTCTCCGGATCACCTGGTTTCGGGTGTCCAGAATCCTTTCCCGGTTCAGTTGCAGGTGCCGCTGTTTGTGCTGTAGTTGCTTCCGTTGCCGCCGCTTGTGTAGTTGTAGCCCCCGACTCCGCACTTACTTCAATTGGTATCTGAGATGTAAATTGATATTGCGGCCCTGTAGGGCACAGGGTTTCCGATGTTTCTCCACTCCTTACAGTCACACATTTGGTACCACTTGTATTCTACAACCAGGTGAATAGCCGGATTAAAACTCAGTTAAGATAACGGCTTCTTAGTTCCAACTAAGATTGAATAAATTTCGTCGGACTTACATTAACGTAGACCTTCACCGTTTTACCAGAGTCCGATGTGACTCGGTACTGACAACCGGTAACATTGCTTTGCACGACGACACTTTGTGCTTCACTTGTGGCAACAACTTCTTTGCAACTCTGTGCCTCCGCAGCTGAATTTTGTTAATAAATTGTATTTTATTACTTACCGATAACCCCGCTGACACAGAAAGTTATGAACAAGATTTTCACGATATTGGAATTCATGTTCACTGTGTTGTTGTTCACTGGCAGCCGCTACGCTTTTATATTGCACCTCGCACACATTTATTTGCAGCGTTAGGTTGATTGGTAGCTTCCTGACTGATCATCCACGTGATTATGAGGTTCACCGACTTCATAATATCATACCCGCTCGTTGTAGACGTGATTTATCAAGCAAACCAAAGTACTCTGACGATTTACTGAATATACAAAAAGCATTTGTGGAAACTTGCTGCAAAGGCATGTTTTCTGGGGTCTAACACAATCATCGACAAAACAGTGTTCCTAACTTGTTTCCGTTTTCTTACTAAAGGGAAGATGAGGGGTTTCTAGCGCTGGTTTCGTCAAAGCAGAATGTCATCTAATATTGCCTCTGTGTTTCCAACAGTTCTGGTCTGACGGGTTCTCACATACTCTCCGGATCTCTCATTTTATCAGCTGAATGAATATGATTGAAATAACAAACGGTGTACTAACCGGGATCACTGCTTCTCGTATGTATCTATCCGTAAATTCTTGTTTTTCCTTTGTTCCAAGAGTTCACGGACTGGGGCCATTTGTTCTGCCTTCGGTACTGACATCAGACCCAGCAATGTAGCCAGTTATTATAAAGTGTGGTAAAGTAGTAATGCTAAACGTCAGAACTATCTAGAAATCAGATTTTGATTAGGCAGTTTACTTCCAATTCTGTGGTTGCTTGGATCCCTGTTAATCATTCGTTCAATCACTTGGAGGCTGAGTCAATATCCAGTTGATTCATGTTAAAATCGAACGCTAGTCAGCATAAAATCCATAGCCCTAAATTCGACCAATTGCCGACGAATACAAAAGATGTTTACTAAGAATTATTTTACCCTAATGACTTGGACCTTAACACGGAATTCGGTTGAATTCACAACTTCAATTTCGTAGAAATACATGTTCGTGGGATTTCATGACTGGATGGAATAGCTCATTTTATCTCACAACATATTTGTGCACGGAAATGAAAAGAGATATCTAGGTTCAGTAGTGGTTCAATTTAATTCGTTCTATGTTATTTGGTCAGCATTCGTCAACTTGAACCGAGAAATTCATGACCAAACCTAACGCAACTGACCATCGTCCTTTGAACTTTCATTCTAATGGCAGCATGACCAATTCAGCAGTGCCGGAAATTCGTGCAGCATTCGACGGACTTGCATAATTTGAATAAAGAATTCCTATTGACAGAGACAAACACGACGCAAAACGGCCAAATCCATGCGAATGATTGTTTAGCACCTTCAGGTGTTGTTTTGGGATGAAGTACCGCTCGTGTATTTCCAAGAATAAACACAATTGTTTTATTTCTCCATCTGAGACAACGAAATGGAATGTGGCGTGTTTTAAGGAATAGATAAAGCTCGGCTATAAACACTCGTTATTCTGATAATCAACATAATTTGGTAATCCAGTTCACGATTCCAACATACGTTTGACAACATCACGCCGCCACATGTAGGGAAAAGAGAATAACCTCCTTCTTGATAAATTGAGTTGTGGTGTTGGCTTGGATATTTGTCTCTTCATCAGTCTGCTTTGGGTGTCATCGAACGCCGTGAAAACCACACTGAACACATTTTTCCATTCCTTAATGAGTTTCGTTAGAAGCGACTGTGTAGCATTAACTGTTTTCTAGACAGTTAGGAAATGAAAAAAACGCAATTCATCTTGAGGTGCAAATAAATGTTTTGCTGATATCAACGTGGACCACGAAGTTCAATAGGAATTGTTGTCTCATCTATGGCATGAGTACCAAATAAAGATTTGCCGACATTATGCGACTTGAAACCCTTTGGATCGACTTGTTTGGAAAGAATATTCACTTCACAGTTTTCCCTCCGGTCTCGTTCGATTAACTGTGCACCCATGTGACCTATTACACAGAGGACCTCCGATTGTACTTTGCCAAACATCATGCCCCGATTCGGTCCGACGGCATACTTTGTACTTTGTTGTTATTTTTCACATACCGCCTCTAAGCGTTCCTCGTTCCACTCATTTGTGCGTCATTTACCCTTATCGTTCTTCAACTATCGCTGTTACACGCTCGCCATTTCCGTGCGTCATTACGTAAGAACTACTCTGGATTCGTCCCCTCACACACGATTAGTTCTAGTTCATTGTCATCCCGTCCCTTTTATGTCGACCTTCATATTTGATCATTCGCTTCATTTGCAAAGCGGACTACTTTGTTCCATAGGATCCTGTGAACCGTTGGTGTGCCTTGCATTGACCAATGACCGCGCTTCATTATCGAGATCTTGCGATTGATGTTTCTATCCCTTAAATTGTTCCTTTTCTAACCCTAGTTTGTATTTCTTTTGGTGACCGCTCCGCAGGTGATTTGTTCTGCGACCTGACCCGCTTTGTATCTTGTTCTTATACCGTGGAGATCCGAATGACCCACAATTTGAGGTGTGGTGCTTGTTTTGTACATGTCTGATTATAGTACACGTAGATTAACGACGTCTCGTTATCTGGAATCGGATTTGGGTTTCGTATCTCCGAGTCACTCAAACACTGGACGACATTCCGGTAGATTCTGAATTATTTTGGTTTAGTCAAAACTTGACATATTGTCACGAAAGACCAACAAGCAACGCAGCTCGACAATATTTGTACGAATAATGGTAATTCAATCAACATGATGGTCAGTGATGGTCATTGTGCTCATAAGCTTACATCACGTACTTGACCCAGCGTGAAAATGTGTCCCCACTAACAACAAACCCTTATATGATCTGTACAGGCACGATTATGAATCATTCGAAAACAATTGTTCGCCTTCGGACTTGTGTACTTATGTTACAATGGGATTATTTCGGAATTTGAAACATTACAAGGAGCCCTGTGTAGTAAAGAAATTAAATAAATTCCTCACTTTCTCTACACGCCTTGCCGAAGCAAACACTGTGATTGAATTCATTTCAAACTGTGTGGACCAGAACGTGTACCCTAAACATTACTGGAAATTCCTACGTACAAATAGGATTTATCCAAACTCCAAAACCTTGCGCAAACATGCGTTGAATCTTCGAGACTCTGTGTGTTCAAAGATGCCAGAATATGAACGGAATGT